GCTTTCCCTTACCACTTCAAAAAGTAATTTTAAATCCGTGTTAATACGTTATTACTTCTCATTACTTCTACATTTTGTACTTAAATTTACATATGAATTAATCGTAATTCGGATAACTTATGCACCCACAGTATAAATAAGCATGCGATGCCTTAAAACTAGTACTCATATGCAATCGGGAAAACACCATACAACAGGTCTGATTGGCGCAGAACACACATCGGTGGATGAATTTCCTTAGTTTATTTCTTAGTTTACTTTGTGAGCCGGGAGTAAAATAGGTGGCCAAGTAGACAAACAACAAATTTTGACACTCGGTTTGTCAAACACTGTGTGATTGTAAAATTTGGCTCTTGCTCGTTGCCAGTTGCTGATCCAGTCGTCTGCCGTTGTCTCTCACGTTCGCAGTTCGATTCTAACACAAAGTGATACTCGCTGACTAAAACTCGAAGGAAATTTCTCTTGGCTTTTCCACAGTTATAGTGCGGAGATAACCTTAAACAAACTCATTCTCAGTAAGAGTGAAGAAGCGTTACTGAAGAGAAGAGCATCTCATCAGGTTCTGGAAGCAAGGGAATCCTGGATACAACCTTGAATGAGCCAGTGAACAAGAATGGCGAACTTCACCGTCAACGAAAACACCACAATCGAACTGAACGAAGCAAACAAACCGTCAATCCCAACAGGAATAGCCGTATTTCTTTCAACCTTGAACATTTTGCTGTCCATCACTGCATCATTGGGCAATGCTTTGATCCTTGTTGCTCTTCATAAAGAGACTTCCCTTCATCCTCCAACGAAACTTCTGTTCCGGTGTCTGGCAATCACTGATCTTTCTGTTGGACTTATCATACACCCAATTACCGTCTTTTTTCATTCGTCTTCGGTAACAACATTAATAAACTGGAAAATCTTTTACTACATAGAAATGCTGCATAAGTTTTTAAGCTTTGTTTTGTGTCAAGTATCGATCTTAACATCCGGCGCAATAAGCGTGGACAGACTCATAGCGCTGTTATCTGGACTAAGGTACAGACATGTTATAACATTACCTCGAGTTCGTGCAGTTATCTCCTGCTTTTGGTTAATTGGCATATCAGTTGGATCAATATACCTTTGGAATGTTAGTGTAGCCTTTACTATAGCCACTGTCGATACACTATTTTCTCTCACAACCTCTGGCTTCTCCTATGGAAAGATTTTTCGCCAGCTTCGACATCAACTTCAAGTACACGCAGTCCCACAAGAACAAACTAACGGAGGACGAGCCCCTCTGAATATAGCACGATACAAGAAGTCAGTTTCCAGCGCAATATGGGTGCAGCTGGCACTAGTTACGTGCTATACTCCGTTTTTCGTTGTAGTTATGTTCATGATATATGGTGGAATGTCTGGAGGCGAATTTCAAATTGCTTTCGAAATGACAGCAACTTTGTCCTACTTTAATTCGTCTCTTAACCCGATCCTTTACTGCTGGAAGATCAGAAGTGTACGAAAAGCAGCCAAGGACACGATCAAACAACTCAACTGCTCTAAATCAGCCCCAGTAAATGGTCCGCTGGATTGTATTCGGTGAAGAACGGATATACTGAAGATTTGAATGTCAGGAACTGTGAGGAATACAGAAAGAATCTTGCCTTTCAGTGTGTTTTTGA